ATATATATATACACCACAAAACAATCAAAATCTATTTTTTTTAAAAGGAAGAGGAGAAAATTGTATCATTCACTCACTTCTTCATACTTGCCGGCCTGTGCCCATTCTGAGTATCGTTTTGCGCACTCTGCAGAGGAGATCCCGTCCTCGTGAGTATAAACGTGCTGCTCTTTGTACTCAGTGATACACGAGTTGGCCATGATTGGGAAATGTTTCTCGCGAGATTCGAACCTGAATGGTTAAAGAAGAAAAAAAAAGAAGCAAAGTATGAAGTTATAGATCTAGCCAACTTACGTGATATTGTTTTCCGAAGATTGGTTCTTTCCACATTAGATCATGCAACCTTTGGCTGTGTCCGTTCGACAATCAGGATTGCTTTTTTTGGTCCTCTTTGTTTTAGTTTAATAATAGTAATGGTCGGTTTCCAAGTGATTAGGCTCTCGGACTTGCAACCATAGTTGTGGGTTCGAATCTCGTCAGGGGCCCAACGCTGTGTCATTGGGAAAAGCACTTTACACGAACTTTCCTCACTTCATCCAGGTGAGACTGAGTACCCAGCTAAAGACATCGAAAGATCTTGTAAGTTTGCTAGTGTCTGAGCGCTTAATCGAAAGCTGAGCATGTTTCTGAGTGTTATTGGATCTGCTGGGGTAATAATAATTTAGTGTAGAGTGCATAGAGCTTGCTGTCGAACGGGGGGGAGGGGGGTATGCGCTATACAATGCTAATTATTATTAGTAGTAATACTTTTACGGCGCCTCCAACTGCATAAGGTCATAACATGAGCGCGTGTCATCCGTGGGGTAAGTTCTGGTGTTTTTGTAGTCGTGGTTATGTTCTCTCACGTTGTTCCTTTACCCACGTTGACATTTTCCTAAACATCCTAGACACGTTAACTAAGGTATCGTTGTTGGTAGCTTTCACTTTCTCCTATCTGTAGAGATTAATAACTGGAGTGAGTGTGGTGGAGGGTATGGTTACTTTGGGTTTGTTTATTTGTTTGTTCATTTTTAAAAGTTAGTTTTGTTGTTGCTGTTTATCTATTTACGCTGTTATTTTGTTTTCTTAAAACCTGTCCCCCTTTGAAAAAAACCCAACCAACAACAAAAAAACCAAAACCGAAACAAACAAACTTAGTGCCGATAAGACAAAAAGAAAAGAATTCCGTCCGTCAAAAAGAAAAGAATTCCGTCCGTCAAAGTGTAGTAAACTCACATCGAGATAACAAATGCATTTTACTTACTGTGATAATTTGTTCAGTCTAACTTTTGCGCTCGACTTCTGTAATAATGCCTTTTCTAGTGCAAGCATCTCGATTTTAAATGTTTCCGACAGTGCATGCATACCCGACTCTACTCATGCGTGCAGTAAACAGTATACAACGCTGTTCCAGCAAATAGAAGTGGGGTTAAAAACAGAAGGCGTAAAAGCAGACAATGGGATAATAACTTTGCCTTGATGGTTAAAAATGAGCCGTTAAAAGTTTAATTATATTCATGTATTCTCCTCACACTCACACGACCCACAAAAATCCTTGGCCGGTATTCTCATTCCAAATGACCATTTTGATCATCGGGGACGTGTTGTGATGTCGCATGTCAGGCGCAAACCGCAATCAGTCACATATTGTTTCTACCGATTCGGAGATACCAGTTTACCGATAGAGGAATGGAAGAAACATGGGTTAAAGAAAGACTATAGTTTACTATCTTACTTAGAGAATCAAAACAGATGGGTAACAGGGAAAGATCAGGGTGACGTAGCTTTTTTTTAAACGCATCCGAGAAATGGGATGAATGGAGAGCTACGATCTTCGATGTCTGCCGCATATCTGGCACTTGATGATAATGATCTGACCTTCATTTTGAACTCTCAGCCTGTTTTAAGATCGCTCCGAATGTTGCTGGAATGAATTATTAACATAGTGTGAAATATTAACTGTTACCTTCCCTTAAGTATCGTTCCAATAAATACTACGTCCTGCCGACAGAGCTGGGAGTCTAACCAAAGATCGTACTTAAGAAGATAGTTCACTCAGCCAAAAAAGTGTCCGCGGAAGTCCGCACATTGCTTCAGATTGCGCTGCAGTCTTTGTTTTCCGACTTTCGTTTCTCCAGAAGAAGAGTAGGAATACCACAGTTTGTCGGTTTCACTTTTATTTGTTTTTCACACAAATATGGTAACTCTGTTCGCAAAGTCTTCGCTTTTTCGAAGAGGACGCCACCGAATTTTTAGGACTCTTTTTTTAAATAGCTCAAAGAGAGGAGTGAACTATCTAGTTATACACGATCTTTGGTCTAACGTACTACTTTCTAAAAATTGTTGCAAGTACAGCGCCTTCCCACCTGGCTAATTAGGACACTATATTATGTTAACGATGTGTTTAAATATCATTATGATGTTCTTTATGACGATCAGTCATTTTTGTTGGAATAGCACTACATGTATTACCACTGGTGTTTGCTGTGTAGAGCTTACGCGCGTTGACATTGCACACATGAGACCCAGATTGATTCTCGTGAGGGGCTAATAATTTGATCGACATTGAGTACATGATGTATCCGGTTTGGTTGGGGGTTTTTTCAGCGGGGACGTCGCATCCCTCTCAGGATGGATTGGCCGTAACGAGCAGGACCGAGGCCCGCCTCCTAAATTATCTAACTGTGTCATTGGGAGGCGTTAATTAAAAGATGAACATTTCATTTTTGAAGCTCCATCATCATCTCTGTGTTTGGAATAAAAGGGACACATGGGGTTCACATGAGACGTTTGCAGGCAATTAATTTGTGTGGTATCGTGGTAAAAATCAAGCGCTCATCAAAATAATGAAATCTAAGAAAGCGACATTAGTCCTCCAGTTGGGCAGCTTTTATCGTTGTTGTTTGGTTGTTGTTTTTTTTGCTCAACATCTTTTGTTTCCAAATACGAAAACTGTTCAGTGTAGATTTGTTGGGAAAACTTTGGTCAAAGGCACAAAAAAGTAGATTTCCAGTTTTCAAAGACACTCCTGCTTTGGAAGTCACCAAACTTAGGCAACAATTTTCACGCTAACTTTACCTCTGACATGAGAAGACCACCACCTCCTTCAATTGTATATATATCTCTTCATCTTTTCCAAATATAATATGGATATTTTAAAAAATGAAAAGCAATAAAAATAACCAGGTTTTAAAATGATACCAATATTTCAATCTTCCGAAAAAATTGACGAGCAGCTGATTCCACTGCGTCGTGACACATTTATTCAGTGGCTGTATAAACTCCCCATTTGGCCCCAGTTACCCCTGACCTGGAAGCTTTGAAAACTACACCGATAGCAAAAAAGGAAGTTTTTGCGTACGTGTTGACGACCAGCATTTTAAACTTGATATGGCTGGTCGTAAGCCGAGCTGAATCATGACTCTTGAAATTCAGTTCCACAGGAACCTTTTGCAAATCCTTCCTAGCAGGTGGGATGTACTTTTGTCTAGGCGATCATAAATCTTGTACGTGTACGTGTACTTTTACGCCCCCATCGACACGATTGCGATAACTTAAGAGGCAGGCGTAAGACCCTGCCTGTAAATGTATTCACACACTAGTGTGATAACCACTTTCTTTTACTAAATGTAAAAAAGACAAAGGAATTAATAATAGACTTTAGAGTAAAAAAAGACCAATTGCAACCACTATTTATTAAAGATGAGGAGGTGGAGGTGGTAAGCTCTTACAAGTATCTTTGTGTAACAATCGATAACAAGCGTGACTGGCATCCCCATGCTGCTCTTGTGCTTAAGAAAGTAAATCAAAGAATGTTCCTTTTAAGGAAAATAAGAAGTGTCCGTGTTGATAATAAGATTATGTCCCTTTTATATCGTTCTATGATTGGAAGCGTTCTTCTAGTATTTTATATTTGCTGCTGGGCTGGGAAATGTAGGGTGAAAGGTAAAGAAAAATTTAACAGAACCATTAAGAAAGCCAGCAAGATATCTGGATATGATTTTACTAGATCTAGAGTTGATGAAATTATGTATAACACCACATGTAAAAAAAAACAGATTTTTAAAAAGCATTATAAATGACCCATCACACCCCCTTTCCATGCAAATTGTAATATCACGCAGCGGCAGATATGTAGGCCTACCTCCAAAAAAACAAAGAAAGAAATATATAAAAGAAGTTTTTTTTACCATCTAGCATAAGGCTATTGTCAGAATGAGCATAAATGTGTGTTGCTCTTTAGAGTATGCACCTTCTTTCTTATGAAACATCTATAGTTCATATCTCCCCTTCTTTTTTATGTTTGTTACTCTCTTGTATCACCTCTAGTCTTCTAGCGCTCATATGACCTTATGCAGTTGCGAGCGCCGTAAAGCCTCTACTAAAACTAAAACTAAAAAGAGTATGATTCTGTATAACTCCAGAGGTCTAATTGTAATTAAATTCCTACTCGTGGTTTCGCATCTGATGTGAATGTACATTTTGTCAGCTTTACTTCTCTTTTCATATTGAATTTTAATGAGAGTGATATATAATTTAAATTTCTTATGTATACCTGCATGTGTTTTTTACGGTCATGTACACCCAAGAAAAATTTCCTTCTGGGATAATAAAGTACTATCTTATCTTATCTTATCATATCATGGCCAGCCAATCTAAACTGAGAAGGATACAAAATGCCAAACAGAAAGACCGAAACATTAATTTTATTATTCTTTTTAATAGTAGGGAATTTTACTTTTACAAAAAGGGGTGTAAGGGGGGGGGGCTCTGAATTTTTAAAAGCGACGTGATGCAAAGGGGAAACTGTTTTATTCTGTCTGTGTATTCGCAGAAATGGCGAGTCTGCAGCTACACTCAACATCATTAAACATTTGGAATTAAACTCGTAAACGTCTAAAATTCGACGTAGACAGACTCATGAAATTCCCATTTATTTATGAGGAATAAGAAAAAACAACAACTCTGCAGTGTTCGCTGAACGATAACTCAAGTTACGTCAAGCAAGCACACGTATTTCATCGACAGCTCTTGAAATAATGAGTACGAGGCGTGAGGCTTTTCAGACAGGGCTTCCAATCTTTCCGCTTCAATGTTTCATTCAAACACGTAATGAAATTCTAGGCCTATATTCCATGAGTTGAGACAGAGAAAAATTGGTCAGGAATACATTTCAGCACACCTGCAGCACTGCGAAAGATTTTTTAAAAATTGTAAGTACATGTAGTTCATCCTCGACGCAATATAGATC